ATTGGAAAAGGAGATACATTGTTTCTGTAAAAAACTTTCAAAAATGACCATTTTTGAAATTTTTTCTGCCGGAAAAGTACCATACAGGATTCTATAACCACTAATTAATTTTTTCAAAAATCATTTGAATCATCTTCAATCTCCACGAAATCAGATAAAAAAGTCTGAAATTATGGTTTTAGACCTGCAATTGTGATCACGCCAAATTTTTTTTCTGTAGATCAAAAATCAATTTGCAGTTCGAAAATGTTCTGTGGAAGACCATGCGGTACTGTATATCGTTTCCTCTGAAAGTTATCATGATATTGTCAACGAATAAATTAATTATCATAATTTTAGAAGTGTTTTGTCAGTTAACAACTATTTGATACCTCGCACAGGAATTGAGATTATTGAGCTGAAACTTGACAGCCACTATATAGAAAACACTATAACAGTATCTACGTAGTACCGGTTCTGGTTATTTTTTGTTTGGCGTAGTATATTGAAATTCTGAAAAAAAAAATTCTAAAACGAAATAGTTGTTTGCGTCATAATCCACATCTAATCAATCACTGGATTTCAGCATCCCACAGGAGACCAAAAACAAGTCCACGTGCAACACATTCGGCAGAACGATCGGGAGGTAAGAAGACCACTCTTCAAAATTCCATCAATCACATCACCATTCCAGATGAATCCGTGACTATCAACATCGAACTCTCTTACCGATCACAATCATCGGGGACGTCAACTCTTCAAAAGAACAGGAAACCTTCAGGTAAAGCTCAATTATTCATGAGTGCTCTTTTTTGTTGGGATTGTCCTCTTTCTCCATTCAAAGCCATTGCGGGCCCAAAGGGTTTAGAACCGAGGGGCTGGTGGAAACACTTCCGCGGAGTTTTTTGTGTGTGTAGATTAGTGACAAAGCTCAGTGCAACACGATACAAGTTGTTCCCTCGCTAGCTATGCACATCCCATAACTCATTATGTAGCACTTTTTCGTGTGCTCAGCTCCTACAAATGTTCCCGTTGAATTCTGCGATTTCTATTCACGACGCGGAATGTTTGTAACTACTACCGCTATTATTCCAGACGTTCTTGCTCCAGGTGAGTAGAAGTGATTAGTATGGTGGGTTCGTGCAGAAAATAAAACTTATTAGATGACAATTTTCAATTGATGCATTGCACTTAACTACACGTGAGCGCTTTTCTAAATTTCTCAATGAAATGAAAATTATTCATTCATATGACCCCTGGAAAAAGTAATTTCCCTCCTTCTCCCCATTTCAATTGTCCCTCAAACCACATTTCCGTTACAAAATTCAAAATTCCGTATCAGAATGGCACTATATAGCGAACCTCGGCGCATTCTCTGGAGTGATTCTGCTCTTCTTTTTCTTATTCTCCAGACGCAGCGTTCTTCTTCCATTCCTCATTCACGTCAGTATTTTTTGATGCTATTATTATATTTTTGTCAAGCCTATGGTGTTCATCCATGCTTTTTTATTATGCTCTTCTCATTTTCTTTTCTCCCATCCTATACGAAATGGGTATAAGTTATTCTGGAACTTGAAACTTTTCCTAGGTCCTGTTTTTTTTGTTCTATCTGTGATGGTAGATTCTGAATAACGCAGGTTGTCAAAACAAGAACATTTTGATTTTCGGTAACTTGTTTATAATTTTTTCGAATTATTAATCATAGTTAACTACAGTAGTGGTCAATAACATATACAAAAACGATCATAGCTGAAAAACTAAGGATTTTCAAAAAAATCTGGGAATTCAGTGTTTTCTGTCTATATCTTTTTTCACACATTACAAAATTTTCTAAATGACCGGACACTTGACTGAGGTCCAGACTCTCTCACTGAGGTCCAAACTCTTGAAAATAACCAAAATCAACCGAAAATGCGTTTTTCTATATCTTATTGACCGGTACTGTAATTCAGTTCGATTGTTTACAAAAACCACAATAAAACTTTGTGTTCCTCTTTGAAGAATCCTACAATACCAGACCAATCTTTTCGATATTGTGAGCTTGTCAGTAGAAAATAATGGACATTCTAGATCCCGTATTTCCTCTAATGAAAGCCCACCTCTATTTGAAGCCCACCTCTAATAGAAGCCCACCCCCCGAGGTGCTTTCAAAAATGAAAGTCCACCCTCTAATAGAAGCCCATGGGCTTTTTCTCAATTTCTAAATTTCTAAATTTCTGATCTACAAAATTCCGGAATACAAAATTCTGAGATTCTGGATTCTCAGAGTTTCATAAATTCGGAAACTTGGATTTTGGAATTGCAAAATGAAAACTTCGAATTGAAAAACACCAAATTTCAGAATTTTCATACTTGCGAAAATCGTTGAAAGCCCGGCCCGGCACGGAAGGCCCGGATGGGTATTTTTGGTCAAAATTTATCAAAAAAGAATTTTTTTTTGATAAATTTTTGAGAATTTTTTAACAAAAAAATTAGTTTTTGAGAAAAAAATTATTTTTCAAACTTTCAACTTCCGAATTTTCGAATTTCTGATTTTTTGAACAACATTTTTTTTTGAAAATTAATCATTGAAAAATAAAAGCCCGTCCTCGAATTGAAACCCACCTCTATTAGAAGCCCATCCCGAGAAAGAGGTTGAAAAATAGAAGCGCATGGGCTTCTATTAGGGGAAATACGTATTCGCAATCTTTCTGAAAAATTCAGTGTGGACTAAACAAAATCAGAACTTCATTTTTGTGATTTGCCGATTGTAACTAAAAGAAGTGACGAAAAAGCCTGAATTACCACTAAAATTGAAGTTGTGCCGTATTAGAACGGGCTCTAGGAACTTAAACAAAATAATCTGCCAATCACAAAAAATGACGATTAATTTTTGTTTAGTATGTTTCGAAATTTTTTCAGAGAATTCGGAAAAACGTTTAGCAATTTCTTAAACTCGAGAATAGATTATTTTCTACTGAGAACATTGAAATACTGTAACCACTCTTTTTTAACATTTATCCATTTTATCGCGGTCACTGTAAAAGATATCAAAAAGTGGTCAACTAACAAAGTATTTTCGATATTATGATAAGCATTTTGTCAGTTGATTACTTTTTGATATCTTCTACAGTAACCGAGATAAATTGCCTCAAAATTGAAAGTTAAGAGTCCATTCTATATTAGAGTGTTTACGGTATGATATATTTTTGTACGGTAAGTACTGTATCTCAATTTTAATTCTAAAAATAATGTTTTTTAATAACATTCTTGAATGAGTATCCAATGACTGAATTTTTTCCCTCCTAGAGGTCCACCCCCTATAAAATCCGCATTCCACTTTGGATCAGTATTTTCTAATCTACCTAATGCGCTTTTTTCCCATGAACTTTTACATTATTCCTAACCCATGGAATCGAACTAGTCTTCCATTTTTTTGTTCTGTTCCCCAACTAAACCCTAGTTTTATAGTCGAGGATCCTAGAGGTGTATTTCTTCCAGTTTATAACAAGACGAATTGAATTTCGAGTATATATTCTACATATATTCCATGGCTATTCAATTTTTATCGCTGAGTTTGTTTCGTTTCTCCGCCACCCCAACTTTATACCGAATTCAGTTTTCCACCCTACATGTCTCATCTTTTTTCTTTGGGATTCCGTCTGGGGATGTATATCTGTGTGTATACTCATTATTCTGGTTGAGGTTTGGCATCTGAATTTAATTGTTTCGCTTCACTTGTTTCTCGTAAGACAGAACAACACAACGTAACACTATCGCATCTTTGGCAAGTGCTCTTATTCGTCTTTTTTTCCGAATTTGTTCTCTTTTTCGCAACATTTTTTGCATTCATGATCAATGATTTTTCATATTTTTTCTTTCAAAATCACTATTATTCTTTCTCCGAAAAACACCTCTTGAATAGAATCATTATGTACACATACTAGAATTTTACAAACCAATTGAGTATTCAACATTTATGATGTACTTTTAGGCGTCTAGGAATAATAGACATAGAGAAATAGTGCAATTTTTGTTTCTCGTGAGGAGAAAAACTTTAAAATTTATGAAATACAGAAAACATCAAAAATGCACATGTCGCTCTTTCGTTAGGATTTAGTGCATTATTTTTGAAATCTCAGTTTGGAATAACTCAGAGAGATTGTAAGATGGAAAATAAAGAAAACCGGAAATTGAAATTTGTATTGTTTTTTTTCGTGCAGAAAAAATATCTAGGTTAACAGGAAAACTTCAGAAATCAAAACATATCCTAAAATGAGAAAATCACATTTGAAGTATCCAGGTGGTGGACGAATAGTTTTTCTAGTCCTCCGCCTAGAACGCACAATCAAAAACATGCACAATCAAAATTTTCAAGGAGAGTTTTACCATTACCGATCAATTTTCCTCAGGTTTCAATTTATGAAAAAATTTAAAAAATTCTGATACCGTAAAACCTGTATTAGAAGGGCCGGCCTTTCTATTTTTCCGAACCCCTCTCGGAGGGCCCTTCTAGTAGAGGGGCCCTTTTATTAATTTGGCCCTTCTTATACAGGTTTTACGGTAAATAAAAAAATCGGAAATCAAATAACACACTTAACAGTTTGAATACGAATATTCAGTGCGCTGGCAGGGGACTAGAAAACTCCCGCTCGACTATTCGTCCACCGGACACCATTCTGGAAATATAAGTTTTCTTTTCGATGTGGTTTTCTTAGTTTAAAAGTTTTTCAAATCTCCAAAAATGAATATGTTCACTTTTCTGAACACGATAAAAAAAGGAAAATCACCGCCTCCACCTTTTGAGAAAGTTGGGAAAAAATGAAATAACCATTTCTCTATTATAATAAAATTTTTGGAAATTTTAAGCATTCATGGAATTCAATTTAAAGGGGGACTCCGACCAAAAATTTTTATTGCATCAAAATGTGTTAAAATTTATCTATTTTTCGAATATTATTGCGAAAAAATTCAAAGAAAATCCGAAATCCCCGAAAAACGGCGTTGAAAATGAAGAAAATTCAAAAAAAAAGGTGCCGCCGGGGGACGAGGATTTTCAGTGAGAAACCTAGGCCACTACACCTGACAGCCTTTTTTTCAAGTCACCGACAGTGGTTTTTTACGTTTTTTACCTGCCGGACATGAAATTGAAAAAAATCCGGAAAATTTGCCACGTAGGAAAGGCACCCGCTGCCGTGGCCTAGGTTTCTCACTGAAAATCCTCGTCCCCCGACGGCACCTTTTTTTGAATTTTCTTCCTTTTCAACGCCGTTTTTCGGAGATTTCGGATTTTTTTTGAATTTTTTCGCAATAATATTCGGAAAATAGATAACTTTTAACACATTTTAATGCAATAAAAATTTTTGGTCGGAGTCCCCCTTTAAACTGGAATTTTCCAAAAGAAACGTTTCGAGATCTTTGGAATTCCAAAGATACAAAAATCAGCGAACAATGATATAAGAAATTCAAACTCCCCATTTTTGCTGACTTTCGACATTTCAAGAATTAACACAAAATTCACAACAATATGCTCCAATTAATTGTGGCTTGTACTGCAACGTTTCGGCTATTTGTCATTTCTTTTTTAAAAATCTTGGAGCTTAAATATTTTTTCAGAGCCGATTATTCTCTTTTCAAACAAATGAACAATACAAAAAAATGACTCGTGTGAAACGAGAGAGTTCATTTTTGACCAAAATCAAAAATGTATCCTTCCCGTATACACCACTAATCCCGCGCTTTTCGACGCAATTTGCTGTCATGGTCACCTCGCAAAATACACTATTAATAACATGGGACCGCTGCGAAAAAAAAAACACTACGCTACGGGAGAAGAACTCTTCCGCATCCAGGAAGAGGCGGGAAAAAAACCCGGGAGTCTACTAATAAGTCGATGTAATTCGATAGGAGAAGAAAATGCTTCATACTCTTTCCCCCCTATTTTGCCTCCTACTCATCCGTCCACACTTCATTTCTTTTCCTTGTCTTCTCTTTTTTCTATTCAACTTTTTTTTCCAATTTTCTCTGCATCTGACACCGCTGTTCAAATCCAATGTTTTATACATAATTTTTTTTTCCAAATTTTCACCTGCCTTATTTCTCAGATTTTGATTAAAAGACCGGCTCAAAAAAAAAGTTGATAGAGGTGTGAGTGAGAGCCGACCTCTTTTTTTCGAAGTTTTATGGATATTGGGTAACCTTATCACCTGGCTAAAAAAAAGAAAAATGTAGAGGTGCTTGTGTCTGTGTCTAGTGTTTGGCAGTATTTTCCTTTATTCTGAGAACACGAAGAACACCTATGAGAACTCCCAAACCAAAATCAAAATCCCCAAGGACCCCGAAAATTGTTATTACCGGTTAGTTTGTTTTTCGAAAGAAAAAATTAGAGGGAACAGGAGAATTCAAGGCGTTAATAAATTTTTTGCGGTTATCAAAAAACAATAGGGAGTTAGTTTTTTTTATTGGATTCTGTATAGCAACTGAACACTTTTTAAGAACAAATTTGAAAATTTGGAAAAATGAAACCAAATTGAAATTATTCCAAACAAGAATCCAAGGTTGCATGTTTGACCATCATTTGCGAATCCGTGTTGACAT